AGATAGCCCTGTCCCTTTGCAGATGGTGCCTTCCCTACAGAGAGCACCCACAGGGCAGGGGCTTGGACCGCATGTGCATCCCCAAGTGGCCCTAGAAACAAGAACAAGGAAGGCTGCAGGCTGCTCCACTGGCACACATGAACCTCTCAACTACACTTGTAGATGCAAACTCAAACTTAGTTACTCTCCCTGGGCTAAATAAAAACTAAGCATGAGGCACCAACAGATGTTACAGACTACAGCTTCATCTGTGTGGGCTATAAAATTCTACACAAAGTTCCTGTCTCTGCCCCAGACACACCCCCTTCCTTGATTATCTGTTTATTGTTGGTCCTTATTCAGATAAAGTGGTCTTGCCAACACCCACAGAGGAAAACAGGTAAATAAGAATACTCTTGTACTATATACTTAGAACAAAATTCAATGTTGGTTGGAAAAAAGCTACAACCTGTGGTACTGCAGAGATGGTTCAGTAGGTAAAGCACTTGCCACACAAGCATGTGTATCTGAGTTTGAATTCCCAGAAGTGAAGTTAGACATGGTAGTGAGCATCTGTAGTCCCAAGATGGGAGGTGGAAACAGGAGAATCCTGGGAAGCTCATGGGCCAGCTAGTCTGGCCTCTATACTGGGTAACAACAGACGGTCCTAATCAAGGTAAAAGGTGAGGACTGAGAATCCAAGGCTGTCCTCTAACCTTGACCACACACACACACACACACACACACACACACACACACACATACACTGAGTCTGGATAAAAGTGAGAGCACGTACACACAGTGCCCTTCCACACACAAGGATACCAACCTCTCTTGTCATTGTCTTCAAGGTCTCCTCTGAATACTGCTCTATAATCTGAAGTAACCTAGGAAACTTCAGCCTGGCTTCAGAAGAGTTTAACTTTAATGCTCTCAACATTTTCTCCACCACAAGTGTCGGATATGCTTTCAGTTCTAAGGGATCAATAACTACAGAGGAAGCAGAGGAAATCGATGGTCAGCACATTCACTTACACATAAACTATAAATGTGACAAATGAAAAAATTATTTTTCCTTTTCAGCTCTATTTTCAGTATGTTACTCCTCTCTTTTGAGTTACTTACAATCAACAATCACATACATTTCTGTGTTTGTATCTGAAACATGAATCCTTCCATTACAGTCTCCATTTTTTGTGAAGCAGTTTTCATCCTGAATATACAGGATAACCATACAGGGCAGCTGACAGCTACAAGAGGCAGGCCACACGAGCTAATAACAGACTGCAAGCCAAGTAAGATACACAAAGCAAATGAGCCAGGCGTGGTAGCTCATGCTTCTAATTCTAGTGCTTGGGAGATAGGGATGGCAAGTTTAAGGCTAGCCTGGGCTACCTTAATGAGACTCTGTCTCAAAAACCAGGGGTGGTAGCTCAATGGTAGAGTGCTTGTCTAGCATTATCAAGGCTGATTCAATACCCAACATTACGAATAAATAAATAGATTCCATTTAAATGCATGTTGCCTGGAGATAGTATTATCTTTAAAAAATAAAACAGACTTGATGACATAATGGAATACTAACTTGAATTTCCCTTTTGAGAATCACTGTATGCCTTTTCTTCTACCTGGCAGAGCTGCTTGTCACAGAAATCTCCCAGTGTCATATAAGCACTGCTAATATCAGCTGCAGACCCATGACCCCAGGAAGAAGGCTGGGCTTCTTCTTCAGCTGTCTGCACAGCCTTGGAG